ACCACCATAACATTAAGGGGTTTAGCTATTCATATTGTTCAAAATAATCACAAGACAAAATATAGACATTACAAGGATTGAGATGAACTTTGATCTTCAATTGCTTCCGCACATGAAAATCTTTCGCTCTCCGAAAACTTTGACTTCTCCAATCTTCATTCGTGTAAAATATTCATCGCTCCAATAAAAAAATTTATTCCTTGTGAAAACTCATTTAAATAGTCACAATTCATCCAGGTCGGTTGGAAGTACCCAAAACGTCCTCACAGCTTAACATATGGAAAAAGTATGAAAAAAATCAGGAAATCAGCATCATAGACCGACACAGGCCATGTCACCTGACATGGGCACCCGTGTCGTTCTCTGTCCATTACACCAACAACTCTGTCGCCCATACCTTCTAACATGCCGTGTCAGCTGACATGGGCATCCGTGTCAGCCTCTGCCTCTTCTCCCAAACCTGCTTACTGAGCCTCCTCTCCTGACACGTCTCATGTCAGGCGACACAGGTGGCCGTGTCATGTACCCCATAGCTTGGTTTTTGAGACTTCCTCGGAAACTTAAAAATCTGCACTTTTTACACTGATTTTCCTGGTTTTATTCCTCTGAGCCTGAAAACAACAAAATACACAACCAATATATAAAACATATAAGAATAAACTGAAACACTTGACAAAATAAATAAACTATAACTAAAATTAATTGTAAATAAAGGTGGAAAAACTAATGATCAAACTCCCCCAAACTTAAACGGTTACTTGACCTCAAGGGACCATTACAAGAACTCATGAAAATCATAGCAGCCTGGTACTCATACGTGAGACATACGTTCAAATTAATCAAAAAGAATTTCATTCGATGTTCACATGACGCAAAAAATTTGTTTAAGAATCTTTAAATATAGAGTTTCCTCTTCAAATACCTCTCTAACTATGCTTTGTACTTAAGTCTCTTTTCGATTTTCCTCCTTTTTCATTCGGACAGTCAAATTAAGGCAATGAGAATTATGATGATCATCACATGCACAAGACTACTCAAGAGTTTTTGCTTAGGCACCAAATAGCTGCATTGGCTACTTATAAATACCAATGAAATTTTCAAACTTTACAATTATATATTGTCCTTTTGGACGATGTTTGGGGATCAACCCCCTTTGGGCAGAATAACCGGATGAGGTCTACCCAACTTAGTGAGCCAGTTACCTTTTACCGCATTTTCATCATTTGGTGCCAAATTTATTTCTTTCTCCATCAATCATACATGCATCTGAATCTATGTTATGCCAAACTGTGAGGATAAACTACTTCAGGAATACTTCTCAGGATTCAAGCACTATGGTACAAATCTACATGTTAGACCGGTTGATTCACAATCGTCGACCGACCTGCTGGAGCATTTACTCCTCCGTAATCCCCAAGAAGTCTCTCTGGTGGTAGTGGGTCTTCATCCATTGTTTCTTTCTTTTCAGACGCCGGCCTGAACGATCTGATGAACCTTTTGATTCCTGTCTAACTAACAAAGCTTGTCTACGCCTTGCATGAAAAGTTCTTTTGATTTCTACATCAAAAGAAAATTCAGCTAAGGGCTTTCTTTGCATGCAAAGGTTAGGAAAAATCAGGAATAACAAAAATATAAAAATTACAGAAAAGAAATTTTAGTTGCAGAGCAACAAAATTTTAATTGAACTCAAATTACACTCAATAACTCGGCAATCCCCGACAACGACGCCAAAAACTTGATGGGAAAAATAGAAAGTGTGTTATTTTTTCCTTACATTAATAATGGGAAATTCCCCGAATGTCAATCTCAAGGACTGCATGCAATTATCGAGTTCAATTCCACGTTGTCGGTACCTTCTGGGCGGGGACCTCAAGTGATGCTCTTTTCCAATGCCTTGATCCTATTGTTTGGATGTTGGATCAAAACATTGGCTCGGTTGAGTGCTGCGAGCAGGGCAACTATGGCAGGATCAGTGTTTCCTGATATTGGAACTGGTTGGAGGATCGCTGGTGGTTCTTCTGGGACTTTCTTGAACTTTCGATTTCTCAAGAAATGAATGTCGTCGTCTTCCGCCTCGACCGAGGAAGGAGATGTAGTGCAATCGTCCCTTTGTAGGGGATTATCTTCAAGCTGGGGCATATCTTCGTTGTCGTCAGTCTCGCAGATAGTGAACAAGACGGTTTTGCCAGCAAGGTGGTTGTCATCTTGATCGGCCATGGTGTGAATATTTGAAATGTTGATTTGATCTTTATTTTCCGGGGAAAGAAAAATGGGGAACAATTTCCCAAAGACGGTGCCACTGATCTTACCGGTGACTAGAACCTGTAATGGATCGATAGATGTCGTCTGCAAGGTTGAAATCAATGAAGAGGGGGTGTACCTGCAAGGCACTCTGATGCTCGAGTAAGTAAGAGTGCAAAGAGATACAAGAGATAGTTTAGGATTTTAGAGTGAATATTGAATACCTGACCCTCACAAGTGTGAAGGTTTATATAGTGCACCTGACGCTTGGCCATTGGTTCCTATTTTGGGCCTAGATATTAGGTTCCTCAAAAATAGGTAACTGTTAGGAACTAGCCGTTGTAACGAGAAGAGATGCTTAAAACTAGTCGTTACAACGAACATAGGAGTATTCACGGGTAAGCGTGATCTGATCGTTCCTGGATGGCTGTCCTCGTGAAACTGACAGAGTGAGAACTAGCTTGTTGATGCGGGTAGAGGTGTGATTGAGGACAGCAGTGGTCTCGTTGATCTTGGGGGTCAATTGACCACACGTCCCCAGCTGAGGGGTGGAGAGAAAAGCGCCTTTTGTTTGTTTCAACTGATTGGACTATATATATATATATATATATATATATATATATATATATATATATATATATATATATATATATATATATATATATATATATATATATATATATATATATATATATATATATATATATATATATATATACTTGTTAAGTTTATATCGTTGTTTTTAACTTATCATAATTTAAATTTTGTTTTAATTATAGGAGCTTAACAACAAAACACCATACTCAAAAAACGACATTCGATCATGGTTGGGTAGTGTCTTTTTATCTTGTAATGAATCTCGACAACTACAGATATTTTGTCAATTTTATGCGCAAATATGTAAATGTGCGTTTTCTGTCTTGATGATAACAATATAAATTTGTACATTTAATTTAAAAAGATATGATATATTTTAATTCTTTCACATATTACTTTTGTTTTTAAATAGAACCGATATATATATATATATATATATATATATATATATATATATATATATATATATATATATATATATATATATATATATATATATATATATATATATATATATATATATATATATATATATATATATATATATATATATATATATATATATATATATATATATATATATATATATATATATATATATATATATATATATATATATTATGGATCGAACCAATAACATTTTAAGTTATAATTTTGATTTTAAAAACACTAAAATACTAAATGATAATTTTTCATGTCATCATTTATTATCTCGCCTGAATATCTAAAATTACATATGTTTTACAACCTACGTTAAATATATTATTTGTAATAACGAAAAACTCCTTATTTGAAAGACGCACAACCCTTTAGTTAAGGTTTTACGATATTCAGCTACAACGTCAAGTTGATGCTTAAAATATTGTCTGAAATCCGTGAGGGAAAAAGTTATAAGTTGTAAGATTAAAAAAAGATATGTGTATACTAAACTTTGATTTAGAAATATCATATTCCAATCTCGGAGAAATTGGACTTACATCAAACCTTACGAGAATCGATAGTTTCTGCAATCTTCACTATTGTTGTATTTGAGTTATGATGTAGGCTTGACACACCAGTAAGAAAAAGAAAAAGAAATGTTTAGTAAATTTTATAATAAAAAAAGTATATTCCATTTATAATATAAGAATATTCAATTAGATACCAGTTTTGAAAATGACATTTTTACATTTAAATTTAAATATTAAATGTAATTTTTAAATGTAATAATGTATTATTAAAATTTGTATAAATATATAAAATAAAAAAATAAAAGAGACATGAACACATTGATATAGGATTTTTATAAAATGACATATATGGTGTCAAAAGTGTCTCTTGGTTAAAGATTGGAAACAAGCAAATCGGTGAATGGATGAGATTGACATTGAATCAGAATAATGTTGCTAAGATCGTGCTCAAAATTTATTTCCAAAACAAAGTGATGATAAATGCTAAACACATCTCAAATAAATAAATAATATTTAGTAGGATTTTATACAAGTGCGTGTGAAAATTCATTAACTACCCAAAATATTTTATTTGCTAAGTTAAGCTGATATGACACCAGGGGTACGTAAAACAGCATGTCTCGTATGAAGAGGTGCGTATAAAACGACGTCATTATTCATGTACGAATCACACCATATACTAATTAATACATACCAAATAGGAAAATAAATCACTTCTTACCTCTAAAATATCACGTGCTTTAATTAATCTTCCATCCCAATTTTATTATTTTTTATTTTATATTTTATTTTTCTTCTTTATTACTATCTCTGTCCGGTTTTTTTCTTATTCCTTTCAATAAAATCTTCTTCAATTTTTTAAATATATGAATTATTTTTTTCTAAATATATCTCTAATAAAATTACATCTTCTTTTATAATATATAATAAATATTTTTGTCTAATCATTAATTATTTATTTCTCCTAAAAATAAATTTATATAAATAGTCAATAAATATAATAGTCTAACCAATTTTTTTAATTTGCGTAGAGTCTTATATTTATAGACAAAGTAATATATTTTATTTTAATTCCTTCTTTCTTCCTTTTCTTATTTTCATTTAATTTCCCCATACATTGTATTGCTTAGGTCATAAAATATCAAATATAGATTTCTTACGTATATAAACCAAAGAGCTTCTTGATTCTTCACAAACCAAAACATAACTGAGATGGATTGGGTACGAGGAGAATCAGTTGGGAGAGGAACCTTTGCTACTGTTCATTTAGTCATACCCAAAGCTACTTCAAATTACACTATATTTCCTTCTCCGACAGCAGTCAAAACATCCGAGGTTTCAACCTCGTATTCCCTCAAAAACGAGAAACATGTTCTCGATCGTCTAGGTTCCTGTCAACAAATCGTTAGTTGTTTCGGAGATGATTATACCTTCGAGAATGGTCGCGAATATTACAATCTGTTTCTGGAATTCGCTTCTGCCGGTACTCTCGTTGATCAAGTTAAATTCCACGGTGGCCGGATTCCAGAACAGAATATTCGCGGGTATACCAGGTCAATTGTTGAAGGTCTTAACCATATTCATAGCAATGGATTCGTTCATTGTGATATAAAGCTTCAAAACATTCTTGTATTCCATGATGGTGAAATCAAAATCGCTGATTTTGGTCTTGCGAAAAAATCAGGGGAAGAACAGAGTAGGTTGGAATGCAGGGGAACTCCAATGTATATGTCGCCCGAGTCAGTGATCGACGGAGAGCATGAGTCACCGGCAGATATTTGGGCACTTGGGTGTGCCATGGTGGAGATGATGATGGGAAAACCAGCATGGAATTTGGAGAAAGATTCATCTATGTGTTCGTTGTTGCTTCGAATTGGAAGCGGAGAAGAATCCCCGATGATACCTGAAGATTTATCAAAAGAAGGAAAAGATTTTGTGGAGAAATGTTTTATTAAGGATCCAAGAAAAAGATGGACGGCTGAGATGCTTTTGAATCATCCATTCATTGAAGAAGTGAAGAAGAATGTTAATGAAGCATCACCAAGAGATCATTTTGATTTCATTGATTGGGTTTCAAGTGTTGCGGATTTAACTCCGAGTTCGCCGGAACATGAGGAGTCGTGTCAATGGAGTTTTGATTCTTATTCTTGTTCGGCAGCGGATCGAATCCGGCAGCTTGTGACGGTTGAAGTGTCGGTGAGTTGGTTGGAGTCAGACAGTTGGATTAGTGTTAGATGAGAATGAATGGGACTGTAAGATTTTTGGTAGAGGTGAAACAGAGTAATTAGACGAGTAGAAGATTGATAATTAATCTGATTTTGATTTGATTTTAATTTGATTCTAATTGGATTTTGATTATTCAAATTGAAATGTAAATTGGATTTTGATTATTCAAATTGCAATACAAATTGGATTTTGATATATCATATTCAGGTCTTATTTATAAATAAAAATATAAATTTTATGTTTATTAAAAAAAATATTTGAATGTATTTAATTTTTTTGATTTCATATAAGAAGAATTACATAATTATTAATATATCATTAATCAAATTGATATCCATTAAAATATTAAACAATTAATGCAACGATAATTTAAGAATACAAGTATTAAATGCACATAGATTTGTTTACCTTTGCTTATATTTAAGACAATTTTTTTAAGACTTTTTTTTGTTGGAGGAAGTACTTAGATTCTTGATTTGGCGGAGGAATACTTTTAATTACAATAATGGTATTCTTGCACCAATACGTTACACTTATACATTATATTATTGTTCATTAATATGATAAACAGTGAAATATTATAATAATAAAATATTTTAAAAAAATATATAAAACTTTTTTTGAATTAAAAGAGTATGAACACAAAATTATGTGATTAACTAATTTTATAACTTCATTAATTAATATTTTAAATTTAATTAATCAATTTCATAACTATAAAATATCATAATGTTTAATAACCAATTTCATAGCTTTATTAATTAACATTTTATATGTATTAATTACTATTAAAAATTATTTTTAATATTTGAACGTTTATTAACTAATTTTATCACTTTATTAACCAACTTTTTACATTTCATTAATCAACTTTATTTTATTACTAAAAATTATTTTTAATATTTGAGCGTTTATTAATCAACTTTATCATTTTATTAATCAACATTTTATATTTCATTATCAAATTTATTTTACCATTAAAAGTTATTGTTCATATCTATTCACAAATATTGTTCACCAAAATTGTTCAAATACTATTCACGGGGCTGTTTATGTTACTGTTCAAAAAATATATTTTTAAATTTTAAAAAATATTATTCAATGTATAAATACGATGAATAGTGTTTGATATAAGTATTTAGTATACAAATTGGGTGTAAGAATAGCATATCCCTTTTAATTAAGGTGATATTTTGAATTAGGTACAAATTGGATGACCATAAAGACAGTTGATGGATACTCTACAAAGCATGCTGAGGGACATGCGTGACCAGTTGAAATTTTTCTATTCAGCGTAACAGGATAAATGTCTAAGGGTCCAATATTGAACTGGACAAGGGTGACACGGTCTATGCCTTGTATTCAATATAAACATGAAGGCAAAATCATAATTGTACACACAAACATTATCACGGAAAAGGTTTTGTCAGATCACATGACATTTCCGTGACTTGGGTAGCAGTGATGTGTTGCTAGATACCGTTCACTGTTTATTAGATTAAATGTATGGTTTAATATAATTGTCAACGTCACGAAAACCTACAGAATCAAACACATAAGAACATATTGATGAGAGATATAATAAATAAGGAACACCGTAAAATACATTGTACTTGAGAGAAATATGGAACACCGTAAGGTACGATATACTTAAGCGAAATTTAGAACATAATATAATGATAATTTTTAATAATATTATTATAATAATAGTTATTAAATATAATAATAATAATAATAATAAAATATGGTTATTATAATAATAGTTATTATAATATATTATTATTATTATTATTATTATATAGTTCAATTAAGTTGGGTCTTTTAGCTTGCAGCTCACACAAGTGATTCTATAAATGCAACCTTTGTGCATAAGTTTTGTTGGTTGATGAAATTAGGTTTGTAAAACCCTGGTTGTATCTCTCTCTCTCTCTCTCTCATCTCTCTCTCTCTCTCTCTCTCTCTCTCTCTCTCTCACACACACACACACACACACACACACACACACTCAAAGTCTTTATTCGTAGCAACTAGCACTGAGACTGAAGGTTGTCTGTTCGTGTGGACTGAGTAGAGGCGTTGTTCTTCATCAATGCTCGTGATCAATCCTCCAGTTTTTGTAGCAAAGTTGTTAGTCACCACAAGAGATAATTGTTCTATCACTGATCATGCTCATTCGTAAGGATCAACTAAAGAGAAATTTTAATTTCGGGTGCATTTTTGAATCACGGTTTTCATTCATTGCTGAGGGTAAAAGGCCTAGTGGGGGAGGTGTCCCTGCTATTCTGAAGTGCTATAGATGCGGTGAGTTGGGTCATTGTGCTAATGAGTGCAATATATATGCGGGAAAAAAATTCTGATGTGGGAAGACATGACATTTGATTGTTGATTGCAAAGATAAAGTGGTGGTTTGCTATAATTGTAGTGAACCTGGACATCTCAGTACTCATTGCCAAAAGCCAAAATAAGCTTCATTTGGAGGAAATGTGCTTGCTCTGACCAGGAATCATACTTTCAGTGATGACAGGTTGACCAGAGGTATATGTTATATTAATAATATTCATTTGATTGCTATTATTGATACTAGTGCTACTCATTCTTTTATTGTCGTTGATTGTGTGAAAAGGCTAGACCTTGTTGTGTCCTCTATGAAGGGAGAAATAGTTGTCGATACTCCTACTAAAGGATCGGTAACTACTTTCTTGGTGTGTTTAAATTGTCCACGGCCAATTTTTGATAGGGCTTTCGGTGTTGATCTTATTTGTTTGTTGTTAATCGGTCTGGATGTTATCTTGGGAATGAACTTGTTGGAGTTCAATCATGTTGTATCAATTGTTATACCAAATCAGTGAGGTTTCTTGCTCCTGATAATGAAGTAGGGGTCGATTTCTTATCTTCTAGGCATTTGAAAGAGCTTTTGAAAGAGGAAGCTCAGGTGCTTGCGTTGTTCGCGTCACCATCTATGGAGAATCAAGCAGTGATTGATGAATTGCAAGTAGTGCATGAATTTCCAGAGGTGTTTCCAAATGTTATTTCAGATGTACCGCCAAAAAGAGAAGTGAAGTTTTCTATTGATCTTGTCCCTGGTAATATACATGTTTCAATGGCACCATATAGGATTTCAACGCCGGAGTTAGAAGAGTTAAAGAAGCAATTAGAAGATTTGTTGGAAAAGAAATTTATGAGACCAAGTGTATCACCATTGGGGGCTCTGGTGTTGTTGGTAAATAAGAAAGATGGTAGTATGAGGTTGTGTGTGACTGCCAATAGCTGAACAAAGTGACGATCAAAATCAAGTATCCACTTCCGAGAATAGATGACTTGATGGATCAGTTGGTGGGTGTGTGGGTCTTCAGTAAGATTGACTTGAGGTCGGATTACCATCAGATTCTGGTAAAAGATAAAGATATTCAGAAGATTTCTTTTAGAACTTGGTATGGACATTATGAATATTCAGTTATGTCGTTTGAATTTTCTAATGTGCCTGGAGCATTCATGGAATATATGAATCTTAGATTTCGTTCTTATCTGGATCATTTTTTTGTGGTTTTTATTGATGATATTCTAATCTACTCCAAATTTCCAAGTCGAATTAAGAGCATGTCGAGCATTTGCAAATTGTGATGCAAGCATTGAAAGAGAAGAAGTTGTATGCAAAGTTGTCAAAATGTGAGTTTTTGTTACAAGAGGTCAATTTTCTTGGCCATGTGATTTCAGATGACGGTATTGTTGTGGATCCATCCGTGGTAGATGCGGTTTTATAATGGGAGGCTCCTAAGTCAGTTAAAGAAATTAAAAGATTTTTGGGCTTGGCGGGTTATCAGTGCAGGTTTATTGAGAACCTTTCTAAGTTAGTACTTTCGTTAACTCAGTTAACTTGTAAGGGTAAAGCTTTTGTGTGGGATTTTCATTGTGAGAAGAGTTTCGTGGAACTAAAGAAGAGATTTACTACCGCTCCGATTTTAATTTTCCCTGAACCAAATGAATTGTTTGTGGTATATAGTGATGCGTCCTTAATGGGTTTAGGTGGTGTGTTGATGCAATATGGTAAGGTTGTGGCTTATGCATCTCGACAATTGAGAGTTCATGAGAAGAATTATCCCACTCATGATTTAGAGTTGGCTGCAGTAGTGTTTGTGTGTTTACCGTGGAAATTGGTAAACAACCGCTGATCCTCCAAAAGGTTACTTATTTGGTGACTCACAGGATCGATCAGATTGATCCTAAGACATGGTTGATTTTTGGGGTTTTGACTAAGTTTAATGATGGTTAATGACAAGAAAATAAGGACACTTTATGTAAATTACAATGAAGAAAACTTGACAGAATAAAGGAAAGTTTTAAATAAAGGCTTCGACTGGAAAAGTAAATGAAAGGCAATAAAGTTCTGGAAAATAAATGACTTTGATTAAGTTAAATGGTGTTTCACACATACATTCTCAACAATTCTTTCGCTCACACTGGGTACTTGAATCTAAATGAGTAACTTGTATATAATTGTGAACACACGCGAAAAACTACGTGAACAACTAATATTTATACTAAACACATCTCAAGTAACCGTCGGGCGGTTACGCTGCTTCGAGATGACTCCACTTGGCACGCTCACAGCATTCGACGTTCCAGATCTTGGAACGTTGCACTTGGTAACCGCTGGGAACCGTTTTCCCTCCAAACATTTGAATCTCAAACCATTCCACTATGAGCATCGAATACCTTCATCGAGAAGCACCTTCGACGTCGAAAGCAACAAGATTCCTACTTAGAAGAAATTCTCCAAGTACCTTACCATCTTCTGATGAGCATTTCGACAGAATCAGCTGGTCGAAACCGTCCCTCATGATTAATGGTTTATATTAATAAAAACAAGGGTGTCGAGTTTAGGAGCCAACAAATTGCCCCCCAAGAATGCCTTATTTCGACGCTAAAAGAAAAAGGCATTCTTTGAGATTCCACTCGACACCTGTCCTTCATTCTTAGCCACAAATTAACCTGTGCGCTTTTTGTCTTCTACC